CTGGAGTGGAGATCACCAGCATGTCTTCTGTCCCGTACAAGAGCAATTCTGCAGAAATCACCACCACTGTCCACACAAGCATTCCTGAATCTGGCGTCCACAGCACGAGCGCATGGGACACGTCAGGCACGGCCCCAGCCACCAGCATCCTCCACACTGCATCCCAGACCCTGCCCCACTCACACAGCACTCTGCAATCAAGCTCATCCCCTGAAGTCCTGTTCTCCTCACAAACTCCAGCTAGGCCACATCTGAAATCCACTGGGACCCTGACACCTGCCAGACCCACAGCTTCATCTTCTCCTGCTCCTTCGTCCCCTGCATCCGTCACTCCACTCCTCACCTCCAGTCTCCAGGTCACCATTGAGCAAATGGACACAGGATCAACACCTGTGAGCACCTGGACTGCAAGTCACATCTCAGCTACCTCCTGGGTCTCCTCAGGTCTCCGCACAAGTCCAACATCTTCAGACACAGCAGTCCACACTGTGGAAGACTCCAGTTCTCTCCCCGAAACGTACTTTGCCACCTCGGCCTCCTCAGAACTTCCTGTGACCACAGCAGAAGAGAGAACGCCCTCCATCACTGGGGTCATCAGAGTCTCCACACAAATACCAACATCCTCTAAGACAAGAGAGATGGTCACCCAGACAGCTTCCTCCTGGACCACAGAACTGACCCACACCAGCATTTCTGAGGAGCACAGCTCAAACATGGACACCACTGCTGGCATCTATGATGCCACAACCAGCTCCTCCCCTGAGCAATCCAGTACAGGCTTCTTCTCTGCTCCAACGCTCCCTCCCAGCATCCCTCCATCCACAGTCATGGCTCACAGAACCACTGAATGGGAAAAGAATGTGATCTCTTCCTCCTCCTACATGCCAGCATTGGCAGAAATCACCACCACTATCCCCACACAGCTTCCTGCATCTGCATCTCACAGCACGCATGCCTGGGACACGGCAGCCATGGCCTCAGCCACCAGCATCCTCCCCACTGCATCCCAGACCCTGCCC